AGGGCCTACCCGGTAGTTTATTGTGCCTCCGTGTGCAGAGGTAGGCTCTTATTATTCCGATCCACTTATTAGACTGCTCCCTGGGTGTGGTAGCAAGCCCACTACTTTGAAATCTCTATCTCTCTGTAGACATATAACTCTCTAGATATATAATTCTCTTTGCCTCAGACCTGCTGCCCTGGACCTTTTTTTTTTTTCCCCCCTATCTTTCCCTCCCCTGACTCTATGGGCCTAGGTATAGGAAGTGCTTACATTGGTTCTTTCTTTGTGCTGTAGTCAGCTTTAAGACAGAAACACAACACAAGCTAGATATAATATCTAGCAGGGCTGGGGTGATGAACGAGGGAGTATTGAAGGGATATAAATATCCTTTCTCTCTCAATGACTATTTTTTCCACTCCCTAAAGGGGCACGTAGCAGGATTTTAAAGGGCAGGGGTACATCACTGCATTTTTTTCTTTCTCCAGGTCTGTCACAATCTTGATCAACTTCTCCTTTCCTCACTTTTTTTTTTTTTTCATTATCTCTTTATCTATGCACCCCACTGTGCAAGTAACCTGATTAGGAAAAGAAGGGAAATGAAAATGTACTTCTTAAACAATAAACCTTCTAGGGCATGAATAACAGAGGCCAAAAAGTGCCACTATCAGCGCTCTGGGGTCCGGTTCCGACAGTAAAACAATTCTCTATCGGCATGATACACAGCGTTGTTGCAAGGAGTTGTGCTGTACTGTGCAAATCTGAAATTTCACCGCAAACTTATGGAGCAAGACAGCTGACCCACTCTGCCCAAATGTGACCGTGCACTTCCTTAGCTGAACCTAACATTCAGTCAAACGATATGCCAAAGATGCGATTGCATGCAGACAAGAGGAGATCTTACACAGAGATTCTGTCGACAGAAAACGCCACAGGGCTTTTATTTTGAAAGTGCCGAGTTAAAAATAAATATATCTTTTTTTTTCCATGTCTGTGATATATTGTACAGATATAGAAATAGAGACTGTAGTACTGTGAATGTACTGTTAAAAGATCATTCTCACTCTATTTTTACTGAGAACCGCGCATGTCATTTGGAAAAATAAGGCGACACCTCTAATCTGATGATAACCCTCAATTTGCCAGAACTTGCTAAAACTGTCGCAAAACTCATAAGAGAATCGTAAATTGTGGGGTAACGTCTAAGACCTGCTAAAAACACTAAGATTAATCTTGCTGGTTGCGATTCATCCCTGGATAAAACTCAAACAGTCCAATGTGTGTTAAACACTGGACTGTTACCAATCCAAAACATGCCCTGGTCTGCGATGTAGCTGTCCTTTTAACCACAACGTGTAAGTTAGTGGAGAACCAAGGAGAGGAAATGACACAAGGACAAACAAACAAACAATGCTTTGAATACTGACTGAAGATTTAAGTATCGATCGTAACAAACGATCGATACGATCAGTCCATTAAGGATGATTCAGGACAGCCTTAATGGACTGAAACTTTTAACCTTCAGCCAAGCCCGACATTTTACAGCTGAAGCTTGGAGTGGCCAGGGCGAGCCGAAGGGCAGTGAGGGACGCACAAGTTGGTGAGGTGAATGCAGAAAATTGCTGCTTCACCATTTTGTCCATTTCCAGCTAAATAAGATCTCCCTCCGCCTCCTCCACCTCCTCTGCCATGGCCCCAGGCAGGCAACCGGGAAAGAACATTTCTCACATTATAACCCCTCAATATCTCTCCTGTGGCTCAGTAAAAGTATGTGTGTGTGTGTGTGTGTGTGTGTGTGTGTGTGTAATGTATAGAACGTGTCACTAGCTCCTGTCTGCTACTTGGTATAGAGTCTCACAGAAGGGACCAAAGTTAAATTGTTGGTGGGCCAAATATGAAAATCAATGGTTTAAAGCTATAGTGGTGATGTCGATGGCAGAGGAGCAAACGAATAACAACTGGATACATTTCGGCGAGGTAAGTGATGGAGAAAAGCTCTCCCTGTCACTTACAGAGGTGTCCTTGAGCCGGTCAGTGTCTAACAGCAGACTGCGGCTATAATGGGCAGCTCCCTGGTGGAATCTTGTGAATGTGAATCAAGGCATTGCTGACAATAAGCACCGGTGTCCGCAGACTGTCCCCTCGGTAAAGACAATGTTAAAAATAGGGGATTATGCAAGTTATTTAAGTTTTAAACTTAATCGCAACTGCTGAATATGTTATAATTTGGTTTTGTTCATCCACAGACTACTATTTCTCCCCCTCAAAGCTGTGATGGACAGATATATTTAGACAAAAACAGAACGGTGGTCAACTGAGTGAGAGGCCGCGTGCTTCTTCAGTGTTGAAATATGAACAGATCTTGCAACAAGTAACTATTTAAAAGTACGGTCTCCGGTTTGTAAAGTAATCAAGATTCAATTTATATTTTTGCATTTAACCATTACCTCCATCAACCTTACTCAGCTTGTTGTGAATAACATAAAACATAACTATATATTAAGTGACTCAAAGCCGGCACGTTTGCAATGATGGACTCAAGTGCTCATGTGAATTAATGTGAATCGTCCCTTCTTAAAGAGAATAAACATGTAGAAATGAATCGTGCTTTACATTATCGCTGCAAGATGCCTCTAAAGCTGAATGTGAACTTTACAAGAAGTGAGAAATGTGCGCTCATTTTCTTTCTTTACATCTTCACTCCAACGGTTGTGACACATTCATTATGCATTTCACCAGCCATCAACATTAGTGACAGAAAAAAAAAAAAGAGGTGTTTACAGTGAACTGGAGGGCAAATATGTCAGTCTCAATTATTCATTCAATCTCTCTCTTATTCAAAAGCTTTTTCCAGTGGTTAATCTGTCCATTTATTCATCAGTTTATTATTCCACTCAGTCAGCTCTTTCATCATCCCTTTTTGGACATGTTCAATTCTTTATACATTCATTCAGATATTTGTCCACTTGTCATGTATTTGTGCAAGCGTTCCATCATTTATTAGTTCCGCACTTTGCCCGCTCAATCAATTTCCTGTTCATATGCTAAGTCAGCTGCAATAAGTGCAGATGAGGTGTTGCAACAGCACTGCCACCTGGTTAACAGACTTTAGTCCACAACAAAATATTAAAACAAACTAAGTCTAACCACTAGCCTAAATAGGATTTGAGCACCAAATTCCAATCAGTTGAAGCAGAATATATTTACCACCAGGGTTGAAATTTGTCTCCGGCTCACCAAACACAAGAAACAACAACATAACAAGCAGAATCAATGTTCACAGGATAACAGCATGGCAGGCTACAAAGATGAACACATGTAGCAGGCCTATTGTCTGGAGATGATCTAACTGTAAGCTAACTTTGGGAGCAAGAGTGACAGAACAGAAGAGCAGACCAGCGTGATGCGCACCTTTTTCCTTAAATTCTTTCTGGACAGCTAGCAAGTTCATCTTAACTACTCCTGAACCATACCACTGACACACATTATATTTTTTTTAATTCAGGCTATATTTTCACATCTCTACATGATAGCCAGCTAGACAGCTTGTTCCAAGTCACTCGTGTGAGGTTATTCACCATTATCACAATAATGGAAATACTCCACGATCAACTTATTGAGTGTTTGTTACGGCGATCCATAAAAAGTCATGAACGACGCTCATGTTAGATGCCAGCAAAGGCCCGAAACATTGGTCACACAGATACAACCTGTGACTTAACATGTATGGGTTTAGTGCTGGACAACTGAGCTGCAGGTCAGCTGGACTGTGATAATGATAAAGTCTCACAGTCTACTGAGACGGTTGAAAACTCAGGCAAAACTAATAAGAGGAACTCGAGTAGTCTGTCAAACTGCTATCGCTATTAATATTAACGTCAAGAACAAAAACTCAAATGAATAGTACAATATCTGCATAATTCAAAGTATTAAAAATGCATCAATAAGAAATTGCTGTATTTTTCATTAAGACAAAATATCTACAGCTAACAAAAAGCAGTAAGGACCAACACATAACTAGATCAAATAAAATGCTGTTTCATGTCATCCCATAAACATACATTATAAAATATTACCTGAAGGATATAGTGGCTTTGGTTTACATTGTTTTAAAATGATCACAATACTCATCTGAGTAACAATCCCAAATAATTCATTCATTGCACTTCCGCTGTCAGGGTCACAGATTCCATTCTCTTCTAGGCTTCCCATACAACAAATATTAAAACATGTCATGTCAGCTAATATCACCAATATAGTACATATATGTGTGTCATTACTATTATCAGAGAGGAAATTACTAATTTAACCAATAAAAAGTCATTTTAATCGATTCAGATGAACAGACACAGTACGTTAGCAGACAAGCCTAACTCTAAAGTCAATGAAAACACACGTAGGTCTCGTTACAGCCTGGTTCCTGCAGCGACCTAATTCAACTGGCGTACAGCTATCTTCGTCTAATTTCCATATTAAGCTTCCGTGAAGTAAAACGCAGCACTTCCTGCAAATACAAATTTCAAAATAAAACCCTCGTTGGCGACAACCCAGCAGTGCTTTAAAGTGACGTTTGTGATGCTAAAATAGTATAAAAGTGTCAATATAAACACGTAGGATGTTTTATGTGACGTTAGTGCTCCCGCGACCGATTATACTTTTTACAAAATACCGTAGACTAAACATTAGCTAGCTATATTAGCTTGCTAACGTTATGCCAAACCATGCATAGGTTTGTCATATGCAAAAAGCTAAAAAAAAAAAAAAGCTTAATTACAGTCCACCACAAAACGTAAAACAAGACAGCTTGTAAGCAGTGCTTCTTTCATTTGACGTTACATCATTGTAAACAGGCGTTTACTGTGCCCTAGTTATTACAACGTCTCTCTGTCTAAAACGTCCTGTCTATTGGGACTGATGCTCGCTAGCTTAACACACAACAGTGCATTCCACTTGCACACTCATTACTTTAAACAGCACAACAATGGTCGCTGAAATTTTCATTTAAGCGTTTGGAGCGTTACCTCCTTCTTCTTTTGTCCTCCCCCGGGTGGCAGACATAGCAGCAAGAGGAAGAAAACAGACAGGACCGGCAGGTTAACAAGGGACGTAGCCCAAACAGACGCCATGACGGAAGGATGCTCTGACTGAGAGACACGTCTCCGCCAAGTCATTGGATGCTGAGTCTACCAATCAACGGGAAGAGAAGAGCGGCAGCTACTGGGTTTTGTAGTTTTTTTATGCACACAGACATTTAATAGCGCACTCCACTTTATATTCACATCTGGAGGTCATTCTTTTCATTTCAACTTTGGAGGAAGTATCTCTTAGAAATGATTAAAGCCATTATAATTATACCCAGGCCCTTACGAATGAGCTATTTCATTTTAATACACTGCATACACTAATACCATACTTTTAAAACACTTGGCATCCTGACCTCAACAGTGTAGCCTACTGAGAAAGGGGCATGCTAGCTTTAATTTAGATTTCTGCAGGACAGAAATAATGAACATACAAGCAAAAAAGAAAAGGCTATGGACAGCTATGGAAAGTCCTTTGTCACAGATGATTAGTAAAACTGTTTTAATGTATTAATAGGTCGATATGAATAACTAACAGGATATAATCAGGCACCACATCCACAGTTGCATGGAAATTGAAATTTCTTGTTTATCAGCTGCATCAAAAATGCAGAAATACTTAGGTTGACTGATCTTGTTTATTAAGCAGTCATTTGTAGCTTTCCAAAGCACATCAGCTATCAAACAAATACTTATGTCAATGTTCATCCAAAGTCACCGTATAAAATGCTCATGCTGCCATTTTTCAGTTTACTTCATTTTGTTATGAATCCATTGGGAATGTGTTTCACTCGCAGAACACTTGCAGAACTGCAGAACGTGTCTCTCACTTTCTCTCTCTCATATATTCTGAGACAGCGGTGAGATCGAGTTAATTGAGGGGGACAAATGATTTATGTGAAATCATTTGGGGGTGACATGTCTCTCTGTCTCCCCGTGAAATTACACCTCAGCACTCTTTGTCACTAATGCAATGCAGTTTATTAACCCTCCAATAAACATTACTATCACCTTTGTAAAACTTTTCAATATAAAAAATGACCATGAGATGGAAGAAGTGAATACAAATGTTTGAGAGGAGAAAGTCTAGTCTCAAACTCTGACTCTCTCTCTCTCCCTTACACACACACACACACACACACATACACACACACACACACAGACACACAGACACTGCTGAAATGAAATGCATGTTGGAATATTAAAGCCAATGCACCGTGAAACAATAAGTACGTGTTGCAGTCTTGCTCAACCACAATTCATTCGCTCTAGCAACTCCATCATGGAAACATCCTCAGATTTGTTGAGCTTGATTGCAGAATTTGTCAAATGATTCCCGTGGAATTGCCTTGTATGGTGATTATGGAACTGAAATTGCTCAACTTTTTAACATAAAGATCACATAAGTTGATAAGCTGTGCCACGATTTTCATCTGGTGAACATTTTGTTTTAGGGATGGCTGTTCAGGTTGTTTTCTGAATTAACTGATTCACTATTTGGTTTGTGCGAAAATAATTAAAACTGCAACACTATTTTTCAAAACTCAATTTATAACCGAAAATGCTTGTTTTGTCGAAAACATAAAGATATTCACTTATCTTAGAGGACTGAGAAAAGCAGAAAATATTCACATTCAAGAAACAATGGCCAGTGAATCTTTGGCAGATATGCTAAAATAAGAAATCCATCTTTGGAATTGTTGCAGATTAATTTTCTGTAAATCAACAAATCACATAATAGATTCATCGTTTCAAAACATCTCTGAGAATTCTGAGATATCAATAGTAGAGAAGCTCACACTGTTTTTATTCTCCTAAATAAAGATGTAGCCCAAAATAGACATTTTGTATTGTATCCTTCATCAGACCACAAATTGATGAAATACATGCGGCTCATAAGATGTATGAAGATGTAGCGCTGCGTTTAAGAAAGTGGGGAGACCTGTAATCATGACAGTATTACCAACACACTATTTGTCCGTGCTGCATGAATTTACTGGGGAAACCAGGGCCTCCCTCAATGTCCCCTCATCCTTCGTAAATAGCAAGCTGAGACATTGCTAACTTCTGCGTCTCGTATACGTTATCTCACCTTCGCCGGCTAATGCCAAACAGTAACTTGCAAGTCAAACTGTCAAACTTTGTGTTGCATGGCAACGCGAAAAAATGTGACCGTCCCACCGGCTTTTTTGCTCTCTCTGCAGCGAGCAAAGCAAACAGCTGCACTTTGCATTTAAGCAGAAGAATAAAGCTCCTATCTGCTCACAGCCTAGGAGAGTGTCATAAGAGAGAGGCAGCAGGGGGACGGAGAGAGAGACAGAGAAGCCTGTTAAAGTCAGTTGCTGCCTCTGCACAGCTGCATCATGGTTCTTGAGTGGTGGGGCAGGTAAAATGATGCTTCATCATTAAGGAATGAGGAGAGATACATAAAAACGGAGAGCAGTTATGAAACGTGAAAAGCACATGTGCCTGTATGAAAACTATCAAATAGGAAATGCTGTTTTTACGTGTGATAAATTAATGTGCATTTCGGAAAGGAAAATTACATTTAGTGCTGATAGCTATCTTTCCTTTTGATCAACAGTTGTGGAAATGAAGTCCTAAGAGGGATTCTTTACATTTGCTTTCATGGGCAAGCAGCAGATATATAAAGCCGAGTCGAAATAAAATAAGATAATCCTTATTAGTCCGGCAGTGGGGAAATTTACAGGAGATGAATGTAATGACAGTACGGAAAAGAGAGAAAAAGCTGTTTTAACATACAGGTGAAAGGCAGGGGAAGGATTTGAGGCATAGAGAGAGAGAGAGAGAGAGAGAGAGAGAGAGAGAGAGAGAGAGGAGGGGGGAGATGGGTCATGTCATCTGGCACAGGACTGGGTGCCCGTATCTGATGTCAGCCGCTCCCTTATAAAAAATAACGAGTCCTCTGAAAAATGATTAATTGCCCGACAGCACAAAGTTTATAGAAAAGAAAGAGAGGGGGTGGTGGGGAGGCGGAGGTGGCGGGGGTCCCTGAGTTACAGAGGAAAAGAAAATAGCAAAAGAGCACAAGCGAGAAAGAGGTTGGGAGAGTGCCACATCAAAGGAGAAGCCGAGAGAGCGAGGGATATGTCGGGGTAGAGAGGGATTGGAGGCAAAGCAGCAGCAGAGAGACGGCGAGAGAGATGAAGAGGGGAAGTGAGAGAGCAAAGAAAGAAAAGCAGCAAAGATGAGAGTCAGACAAACAGAGAGGGAGGAACAGAGAGAACGAGTGAGGCATTCATTCATATGGTGTTCGTTATCTCTGACCGACTCCCTCAACAATTGTTCCTCTGTGTTCTTTAGTGTGCTGTTCAATAGGCCTATCTGTGTGTGTGTGTGTGTGTGTGTGTGTGTGTGTGTATAAATTACACAAATGCACAAATGTGGGAAAGCATGTGTGACCACTCTCACATATAAGGCAAGTCAATTAAATTGAACACAAGCTTACTGCACTTCACACTAATGTAAAGTGGAGAGGACTTGAAAAGTTGAGAGGCGATTGAAATGCTCTCAATCTGGTATCTTTCGCCGTTAACATGGAGGCTTTGAAGTCGCAGCAGAAATCTTCACACAGGTTGCGCACATGAAAACATAATGTTGACACGAAAGAAAATACTGTAAATGTGGCTCCAAAGTCTGTAAATCATACACACATCCATTCGTTTTGGGACGTCCCATTGTCCGCTCACGTCGCATTAAGCCTACACATCTGAGAAACATGTATTAATTATATTCTTTTAATTACATACACTGTTTGTGGAAATAAAAAGATAACTGGTGATGCAGCTAAACTCACAGCGTTTGCGGATTCACCGAATATTGATCAATTATAAAATGGATAATAATTCTTGTGGTTTACATCCTCAGTGGAGTGATAATCGTATCCCTTCTTTTTACAGCATGGCAGGGTGTTTTCCGCTCGGCCGGCAGAGAATTATTCAGCGAATCCAACTCGTCTTGCCTTGCCTGCCGTCATCATATCTAATACTATAAGTTAGGAGGACAGCAGTAAAGTGTGTTTGATTGAATTGATGGCAGAGGTCTGCATATTTGTACACAGCAGTTGTAAGTGTATATCTCATATTCTGTCTTAAACTGTTTGTTTGTTTGTTTTTACACAATATTCAGATTTTCTTGGACATGTTATCACTAAATGCAGGCACCTTGAAGAGAACAAACGGAGATGATAACAGATTGTGCTTCAGAACTTGTCACTAACAGAGAATGACATAAATGGACATCAACAGTACCTCTCTCTCCTCTTCTTCTTTTGTCACCATAACTCCTCTTTTCCCTCCCTCTCCTTTCCTCCTTTTGCCACTGCACCTGATCTCCTCCCTTCCTCCTCTCCTCCCCTTTCCGCTGCTCTCTTTTCCTCCTTTTGTCACCATACCTCCTCTCATCCTCATTCATGCTTCTCTTTTCCTTCTCTTCTCCCCTATGTTTTTCTCTCCTTTATATTTCACCTCTCCTTTCCTTTCCTCGTTTAGGCAGCACACCCCCTCTCCTCCTAGTCTCGCCTCGCATCCCCAGTGCTCTGCTCCTCTCCCCATTCAGAAGGTGTGTTACAGATAATAAAAAGCCCTGACGGTCGGCAGGCGGCGACACCTTGTGATGCAGGAGAAGGGTGAAGGCAATTTGCACCATAACAAATAGAGTAAGAAAGAAAGAAAGAAAGAAAGAAGAAAGGATGAGCAAAAGGATGAATCAAGGAAAGTTTCTGTCTGCTTCAAATAAATATTGTCTTTCTATCAATTTTTTGCAGGCCTATACCTACAGTCACAATATGATTTTTTTTCTATTATATTCGTATAGAGTCATACTGTATTAGTTCAGTGCTTCTACGTTCTGCTGGCACACACACACACACACACACACACACACACACACACACACACACAC